CTAAGCTATATGAGGAAACAAAATCAATGGAAGATTTTCGAATACCATAATATTCCAATTTCTCAATAAGAATCTTATGATCTACACAGCCAAATGCCGGAAAGGAATATGTTGTGCATTCTGAATCAATTTGAAATTGTATTTATTTGGTATTTACAATTAATTTTACGGTGGTAGGGCCACGCAGCAGCCTCGGCTGTTGCACGAATGGGCAGGCCCGTCCGGGTAAGTACCACGACCTCACAGAAGACCGGCGTAAAGAGGAAGTATGACAAATACTTTCGCGTTTTGTCTGGTGAGTGAGGTAGCCGGAGCCCAATTTTCAAAAGGTTGTCAACGCATCTGTAACCCTCGAGTGTAGCAGATGTCCATGGGCGGCGTTATTCACTTAACATCAGGTGAACCGTCTGCTCGTTTGACAACCTTTCGCATAAAAAAAAAAAAAAAAATTTACTTTAGGAAAACCACTCATTCCCGTGAGAAAAATTAAACTGGAAACGTAATGTATCTACCATTTCAATGAAGCTCTTGTAGACATATAAATATTAAATTACAGACGTCAACATTTAGCTCACGTGAATTTAGAGACAGATCTCAGTAGTGTACATAAAAGTTTTTTTTATTTTTTTATTTATTTAAACTTTTACACAAAAAATTAGTATTGTGTATAGGCGGACTTAATGCCTAAGGCATTCTATACCAGTCAACCTATGGGCGACGCAGAGACAAAAGAGGCAGGTGTAAAAAGTTTCAACCAAATTTTAATTTAAAATAAAAGTTATATATATATATTCATATATACTTAAATTTAAGACATATACATGAAAATATATAAAGTATATAAACATATTAAACCCAATATAACAAAAATATATTACATTATTTAAGCATACAAAATAGAATACATATACTATAATATTCACAAATACTTAATAAATATACATAAATAAATAATATACGATATCAATAACTACTGATTATTTCATTCTGCCAACTTACTTAGATATAGTTTTTTTATCTTATTCTTAAAATCAATACGTTCAGTGGTCTTCCTGATGTCATACGGAAGGTCATTCCAAAGGAGAATGGATTGAACGGGAAAAGAAGAGTACATAAAACTAGAGTTGTAGGCGGGACATTGAAGCAAGAGATTATTAGAGGAGCGAAGGGTTCTGTCATGATTGGAAAAAAGATATTGGATAAAGGGAATCAAATAGGAAGGGGGATTGGGAGAGGTTAATATGGAATGAAGTGTAGTGAGCATGCGCAAACAACGGCGTTGACGAATGGGAAGCCAATTAAGTTGAGACCGAAAAGCAGACACATGGTCATACTTACGAAGGTTAAAAACAAATCGAATGCAGTTATTGAGAAGACGGTCATATTTGTTGAGTAGATCTGCATTCAGATCAGAATAGCATACATCACCATAATCGATCAAGGGAAGAATTAAGGACTGCACAAGTAAAACTTTAGTTCTGGACGGAAGAAATTTGCGAAGGCGGTAGAGACTTCGCAAAATACCGGTTACTTTTCTACTGACATGATTCGCTTGAGCATGCCAGCTTATGTTGGTGTCGATATGTAACCCAAGATCTTTTACCGATGAGCTTGGTTGGATTACGGTGCCGTTGAATACAATTGGAGGTAAACCATTTGTTTGTACCTTGTTAAGCATTCGACGACTACCAATAATTATTGCTTGGCATTTAGCGGGATTAACAAAGAGACCAAATCTATTGGCCCACGATTTTATATGCTCTAGATCTCTGTTAATCCTACCCACTGCTATAGATAAGCAATCAACATCGGCCTGCGAATAAAGTTGTAAGTCATCGGCGTATAGGTGATACGAGCATTGAAGATTTTGAGTGATAAGATTGATAAATAGAGAAAATAACATAGGAGATAAAATTCCGCCTTGAGGCACACCAGCAATTAAGTCATTCCAACGAGAAGATTTATCATTTATGCGAACTAACTGCTGACGCCCTCGAAGATAACTTGAAAACCAATCCAGCGCTGTGGTTGAGATCATAGAATAGGATAGGATGGAAAGAAGGATGTCGTGACTAATGACATTAAATGCGTTAGAGAAATCCACTAAAACCAACACTGTGATTTTACTGGCCTCCATTCCCGCCCTAATATCACTAGTGACTTTAAGTAGCGCGGAAATTGTACTATGCCCAGGCCTGAAGCCAGATTGAAATAAGAGGTTGTTGTTGAAGACAAACCGAGATAGTTGTTTGTGTACACAAGCTTCAAGTACTTTTGATAGAAAGGGAAGGATGGAAATAGGTCTGAAATGATGGGGCAAGGAAGGATTTGCAATCTTAGGCAAGGGAAGAACATAAGCTTTGCGCCAAAGTAAGGGATAGACTCCAGAAATAAGGGATGAATTAATAACATGGGATATAATAGGAAGGAGATGATCCAGGATATATACAATCATGAGGCGGCTCACTTGATCACAACCTACCGCATTTGATTTGATAGAAAGGATAATCTTCTTGACCTCATCCACAGCAACTGGAGAAAAATTAAAGGGGTCAATATTAGGACGAGGTAAGTTCTTTAATTCCTCGATAGTGCGAAGCTTGATTTGAATATCGATTGGTGTATGCAACACAAAGTAACGATTGATGTCATCCAGATCCATTGAACTCATATAATCATACTGTGATTTTTTGCCGATTCCGATAGTCCCAAGGAACTTCCAGATATCAGCGGGTGAAGAAGAAACTATGTTATCATGGATATATCGGCGTTTAGCATCCCGTATCATCTGGTTACACCGATTCCTAGCAACCTTATACAGTGTCCAATTGTCAACACAGCGAAACTTTTTGTACTTACGAAAAGCCCTACGTCTCATCGCCATACGTATGCCTGTTGTAATCCATGGTGCTGGTGGACGCTTAAGTTTGACGGTTTTAATAGGGGCATGTACATTGTATAGTCTGAGAACGGCACTATTAAATAAACTGACTTTTTCGTCCACCGTGTCGGCGGCAATCACATTATCCCACCTTAAATTTGAGGCATCTTTACGAAGTCTTCCTATGTCCATACGAGCAAAAGAACGGATATTGAGGGTCTTAGGAATAGGTTTTGGTGGTTTAAGGAAGTAAGAGAGGTAAATAAGGTCATGGTGGGAGAAAGCCGGTGCGGGATATTGACCATAACTGGAAGCAAGGGAAGGAGATGAAGTAAGGATAAGGTCGAGCCAAGTGTCTTCGACATTCAAATTGTGGTGAGTGGCGTTTAAAGGCAGAATGTGAAGGCTAGCAGACTCGACAATACGAAGGAATTTAGAGGAACGAGGTGAAGGGACCAAGAGATCGGTGTTAAAATCGCCCATAATGATGTGATGTATGTAATCCGATCCTAAAGATTCCAGAATTGTTTCAAAACTGGAGAAGTAATCGACAGACGGTGGGCAGTAGACTACACCAAGAACGCATTTAACTCCTTTTATGCAAACTTCAAGAAAAATAAATTCCGAAGATGAGGGATAAGTTGATGTAGCTAAAATTTTGTATTGAAAATAACTTCGGAGATATATAGCAACACCACCACCTCTCTTGTCGATTCTATCGTTACGTATCAGGGTGAAGTCGGGAAGGGGATATGAAGTTGACAGGAGAGGGGGTTTGAGCCAACTTTCTGAAATAAGAATGGCATGAACGTTAGCTTTAAAGAAAACCTCATACAGGTCACTATAGTGACTTGGCACGCTTTGTGCGTTAATGTGGCATACGTTAAACGTTAAGTTCGACTGTTGAAAGGTGTTTTGCACAAGGTCACTAAGCGAACCCGTTACGGAGCAGAAAAACTATCATCAGATGACAAATTATCATTCTCGGAAGCAGAATAAAACGAATCATCGTTATTTGAACTCATTAAATAAAAATAATGTAAATAGATATAAATTAAAATAAATAAAGATTATGGAAATATGAATAAAACTATAGGAATAAATAACATTAAAATATAAATAGTAATAAGAAATTGCAAAATGTTATGTAATGCTGCTCCCTGCGCCACCCACCAGCTGTCACACTGAATATAAAACATACAACTGAAAAAAAAAACTATACAACTAGTTTAACTTGTAAAAAAAATATATGAGCTAATAAACGTCATCTTTCGCAGTTAATGATTGTGACTTGTTAATCGACTTGTGCACAATATAAGGCAAAAAACAGATAATACAACACACATAAACTTGTAAAAAAAAAATAACACACATGAGTTAAGAGTTAATAACATTATAAAAAACACGGAACACAGGTTATTATAGACAATATCAGCATCTGAACGTTAGGCGTGTCTCGTGCGAAAAATGAAGAGATTTCTCTATACTCTGTGGTTGCACAATGAACTGACATTAGTTTACATAGTAGTACAAATTTATCATGTAAACAAACTAAATACTATGAGTTATCTCGATTTATACAATTATTTATTATTTAAAAAAACTTAGATATATAATTTACTAATAAGAAATAAACTAATTTAATTAAGTAATGTAATTCACACAAGACAAAGAATAGCGAAAATAAGTGCACAAGTGAATAACCTAATCTTCGGATATAAATGTAAAATGGGCACTAATGACAAGAAAAATATAACTCTAATCACTGAGAATCAGAAATTTAAAATGATAAAGAAATATTTAACTTGAACTTTAACCTAGTCGAAATCATTTACGTGTTTTGGTGCTCGAACTCGAAGATCCGGCGTCCCCAGACGGGCTCATGTTCTCAGCAGAGCTTTTAACAGTTTTTTTTGGAAATTTTGTCATTAGAGGGCACAACTCATCCATGGTTACGATTTTATGGCGGGATCCATCAGCAGCTTTCACCACAATAACTCCATCCTGAGTCAAACAAGCCCGCATACCAAAATGTAGTCGGGTTTTCCCAAACACAGCTTGTCGTGACTTTGTCAAAAATTCTTTTATGGAGACAGAAGAACCTTTAAGCTTGGCCTTAGCTCTCCAAACCAATGATCAGGGTTTCAACTCGCACGAAACGAACTAAGATTGGCCGATGGTTTTTGCTGGCTACTCCTAGCCTATGAGAAACTGCAATGCAAGATTCCGTGATTTCGGTAAGCCCCATCTTATGCATAATATCCAGAACAATGGTCTTGCAGTTCTCTTTATCAGCTTCAGGAGCGCCCAAGAATATTAAAGCCTTCTGACGATGCCTGGTTTCTATAACGTCAATCATATGGGAACACTCATTTATCTGCTTACGAATCATGCCCAGCATAGCGAACACCAGCTCCCGAAACGTCCGGAATTCTTCAGCCACCTTCGCAACTGTATCCTTGGCTGGTCCTGCAGATTGAATTTGTGCTTCCAGCTCTGCCATTCTTTTGGAAAAACATTGTTCTAGATTGCTTTGTGTGGTTTTAATTTCATTGAGTTGAGACATGACGTAATTTTTAGAAGCCCTTTAACGTTCGTGTGATAAGCTGGCAGGTGGCAATGAAATTAATTGTATCAATTCACATTAACACAATTGTAATAACGTAAAATTGTTAGATTATACTGAAAAATTACGGCAATATTAACTTTTATTTGAAAAATAAAATCTAAGCAAACGAAACTACGTGTCAACTTTATTTCCACCTACCGCCAAAAAAAAAAGTCTCGTAACTCAGACTTACGATTTGATTTACAAACTCGAAAAACTCATATTGAAAAAAAAAAAATATTGTATTTCAAAATACTTGTGCGTAACATGTTTGGTGTTTTATCTGATGGTAAGTTGTGACTGCTACCTACTCGTATGAACATTCAAAATTCTTGTTGCAATGTCGAGCGTAGGTTACGTAAGGTTAGGTTACTTCTTTCTGTACGACTGGGCTACTTACCTATTTTTATCTATGTGTATCATAAAAATATCGCCATTGCAAAACAAAGTTTTTAATATTAAAATATTGTAAGAGAAATTCACGATTCCCCCATACAGTCACGGTGCGTACTGGTTGCGGTGTCTATTTGCATAAAATAAATTTTTGAAAATTAAAAAAATATTACGGTATATACAGCTTGTCGTTACAACCGCGGCAATAAATGAACACGCATATAGAGGATAACTTTTTAAAATTTTATTAAACATTTACATTCTTTTTAACATCAATATTTACTGAGTTATTAAATCCAAAACAAACAATTTTAGAACATCCTTACGTATAAAACTGTAACGTCAAGTTCATTTGTAAGGGTCACAAAGCATATGTATGGGTTGAATGAATTTAAAAGAGATAAAACATACTGTTAGAAAGAGAGATTTGTAATGCGACGCTGTGGCAACGAATGAAAAAATCTCTGAATGTATGAAACAGTCAGTTGTAGTTGATGTTACAAATTTTGTTTCTTTTTAACTTAATTATTTTGTTTGAAAAATATTTTTTTTAATGATGGATTTTTTTAATGTTTATATTTTTTATGATTATGTGCAAGTAGCGTTACACGTATGTTTATTTACTGTCGCGGTTGTAACGACACGCTGTATATACATACAGTATGTAACATACAGAAGAAAACGCGTGTTACTTATTGCTGAAACACATACATTTTCCATTGCTGCAACTGTTGGTACTATTGGAATTAGTGTGCTTGCTTGGTCACTACTACACCTACGTATATATTACAGCTAGTATTTGTGCTCCTTAATTCACCAAAGTACCTTACAATTCTTGCCTACTCAGCAACAAAATAAGAGTTTTAGTGACGGAGCGAACAAAATTGCTTTATACAATGCTTTGAATGGCAAGATAATTATACCTTAATAGTACCTTAAGTAGCTAATACGATATATTACTACTAGGTTAATGGAGTAGTGGAAGGACGTAATGGCTAAAAGCTCTCATGATTTTGGAACTGTATCGAAATTTCTATACCAAGGTGGTAAAATTCTTTATTGAAGAAATATAGGTTTCCGGTAAGAGTACACCACATTATTATTCATTGACGTGGTTTTAAAGTCTTAAACTGTGATATTGGTACATTGCTTTCAGCTTCAATGAAAAATGTTTTTTATGACTGAAATGATTTATAACATTCCATAGTAGTAGCATAGTATAGTATGAATGAGTATATTAGTGAAAGCTTGAAAGTATCACCAGTGACTGAGAAAATAAGGAGTGGTAGGTTGTCATGGCATAACAGGTCATGAGACTGCAATCTATAACACCGGAGCCCGGAATACACTCAGAGATCTTTTTAAAAGATTAATATACTCACTCTTATATTTATTGTGATGTTTTATATGTTAGACATAATCTTAATAATTATCTATAGAATAGTGACAGACATAAACTTAATACTAGAAATAAGGACAAACTAACTACGCCATTGTTTCGTCTGCAAAAATTAAAAAGGGCGTTCTTGGGGCAAAGTGTATAATAAAATCCCAAAGAAAACTTATGGCTAAAGCATATTATAGCATTGCGGAATATCTTGACGACGCCAATTTGTGGTACAAATTCATTATGTGAAGATAGAACCTCATGTTTGCCACTTGCTTCAGCTGCTTTTGATACTTCCGCACAGCAACCGTATCTAAGAGATGTAAAATAGACAAGTACGTAGACGCCTTATCAAACTGATATTATCCTATTCGGTGATTTGTTATGTATCACTTAACTGTTTTTATGGTAACACTTATTATGTTTACTTAGTCTTCTTTGATATATTATTTTAAAACATAATAATATTAAATAATCGTCAGTGATAATTTATTCATCTTTATCACTTCTTCCATATAAGATACGACTTTTGTTTCAATTCCTTTATTATTAACAAAAATTGATACAATTAATTATACATTTAATTAAATATACACGTTTATTTACATCCAAAACATAAAGTACGCTTAAAAGTTAATGACACGTATTTATAATCTTGTTCTTTCAAAAGAGCTTTTGGAAATACGTCCAAATTAGATTTGCCCCGTGAACGTAAATAAACACTTAAAACTATACCGTGACAGCGCGGTGCTTATAAACCGTACCGCACAATGATTAGTTAAACTAACAAATAAGTTCATTTTTGTTTGACGGTGCGTGATAGCTGCCAGTGAGTGTTGTGGTGATATTTATTAATAATCACTTTTATGAACGTGCGGCTTCCATGTTTTAGTAGCGTAAACTGGATTTACCAAGTGAAAGGAAGAACTCAATAATCACTGATGTAAAACGTTAGCTACAAGTGCTCAGGTATAATTCAAGAATTTCCCCGTCACTAACTGTTTTTTTTCTTCGGTAAACCAAAATCATTACATCATAAACAATCCAAGCTGAATATAGAAGTATAAACTCGCCAAATGTTGAGGAAATTTATTTCCAAAGAGCTATTCGTATCCAAGCACTAGGAATAAAGCCTCTTCAACTTCTATAGTACCATAAATAAGGATTTAGATAAAAGCAACTCCATTCTATTATATGCATGATATGCCTTTAAAAGTTTAACAGCAGTAGTTTGACTGAATATGAAATATTATTTTTTTTAGCTTTCTAGAACATAGAGTAAAATTGTTCTTATAGGAAACGAAACGAAGAATGGACACCCAAGAGAATATAAACAGATACAAGTGTTTTCTTTTATAGTCAGGTTGGAAATCAAGCAGCGGTAATGTAATTTTTAGTGGTTGTAGCAGACCAAATATTGATCTCGATCGTCACCGCTCAGGTCCTCTCGGGGCTTGGTTTGTTCCGGAGGTATTAGATATACTTTTCCGCGTAGCTGGTAGAGGTCCCAGATCGGAAAGCTACTATTGCGACATATCTTGGACGAAGAGGCAACTATATCCGTGAGCTATCGCGAGGGACCTTTCGCTGCTTGCTGGTTACTATTATGGTGAAGAGGGAGAGTTGATGGAAAAAAGGAGGCAACTGCCACCCTAGGCATCCATTAGCATGGTTTCCATGCCTCGGGACACGTCTATGCGACCATGCCAATCAACCAACGGTGAAAATGGTTTGAAATGATTACGATTATTGATATAAAACGCTAAAAGAAACGATGCATTTAGCGATGTCAAATTTTCTTTCATTTAATTACGATCATCGTTTTTAAAATACACAAATTGTAACCAAGCCGTGATTTCATTATTTTTTATCATTCATTATATGTAAAGTGCTGTTAAAAAGTGTTAGATGGTCTTTAAATGTTTTGTCTCCCGATGATGGGTTACAGAATGCGTTAATAGCGAGATTGCAAATTGCGAAATAAAAAAGGCAAACGAGAATTAATTTACTTGTTCAAGTTTTTTTTTGAATCTATAACGTCAATAATATTATTATAAATAATATTATATTAATAAAAGTAATTTTTAATTACAACAATTTCACGAATTACCTGGAGGGCAACCAAACAAATTAATTTTGTAATCGTTCAAGGAATAGAACAGGGCTTCACAAACTTACGCAAATAAATTATTTGAACATTAGATAAAATAGAGATTTATGGTGAAATTAGGAACTACGTCAATTTTCGTTGGTATGACATACGGTCTTATTCATAATAAGTTATCGGAGGTTTGAAAGCTCACTAAAACAGATTGTCAAAAAGTCTTATCCATAATCGTTCTATAACGCTAAAACGTTCTATAACTCTCCGATAAAGTGTCTTGAATATAAACAAGCTAGGACTCTATTAAAAACTTTCGATAACCGTATATTAGTCAAAAACATGGCGGATTTTGGTAGGCTGATTTGACGTTTGTAATGACTTCTTTTAAATCATTCCACGACGCCACTTTCGTTAAGTTTTGGTGAAGGAGCGGGTTCGTAGATAACACGAACCTGCGCCTTCACTAAGTTAATCATTCAAAATAATCTTCGAAAGCAAAAACAGTAAATTTTAGTAGGTAATGCATGCATAAAAATTTCAGTGCGAAGTTCTAGACTTGCGAATATAACAAAATTGTAAGATCAACTTTATCTTCCTTTAGCTAATTTTCACTACTCTGCCTTTCTATTCTTACTTATATTCTACTCTTGTTTATCTTAAGATTACAATTATTTATTTATTTTGTTAAGGCCAAAGTCTACTAATAAATAACAACGGGATCGTTGACACGATCCACGATCAATGTGTTTGACAAAAGTCAAGATACTATTTTATTTTATTTTAGCGATCCGTAGAAAAACTCATGAAACCATTCTTTTATCATTCAAATTTCACAATTTTTGTCCGAAATGTCAACATTATGTTCAATAAAGATATTTTAGTTATCGGAGATTTATCGATTATCATTAACGATTATGAATAAAGATTTTTATCAAACGTTTGATACGCTTAAAAGACGTTTTAACTAATACAGGTTTATACCTTTGATAAGCGTTTTATTATGAATAAGTC